GGATTCAGACTGAGAACCGTGTTCAGTCCCTTCAGCCCTCATCTGAGCCATTTAGCACAGCACACGCGCTGTTTTTGTAATTTTCGCGAGAAAAGTTTATCCCGTGCTGCTCTAAGCTTCAAATGTAAAGCAAAGCTGAGGGTGGCGTGACGTCAGAAAAATCGTGGGGGAAAAGCTGCTCTATTTCGAAAGATGTCTCACTCGGTTTATAAAGGAATTAGCCCTTAAACAGACTACCCACAAGAAATTCAAAATGTTAAGAAAAAAACGTCTCAAAGCAAGTATTCTCACTACAGTACCTCCAACTGGCTGCTTCTAAAAGCAGCAGAATTCCTTAAATTTCAGTTAGTTGCTTTTAGCAGTAGGTCTTACTTATCTTATTAGGCAGGTAATGGTGAGAAGACCAGACCATTTACAACAAAAACGTCAATTTGGACTTTAAATAAATTAAAAAAGAAAAAAAACAAAAAGAAAAAAAAATAAAATAAAAAAAAGAATGCCATTTCACTGGATGTGTACATTAGAACAGTGAACTTTTGAGCGAGTGAAGCATCTTTGCTCACTTAAACGTTCTGTTCTCTCATTTCCACGTGTTTCAACAAACAGATAAACGAACCAAACTAGAGGAATGAACGCGGTGATGGTTGGCTGTTTCTTCCTAGGGGTGTTGCTGCAGTGCTCCCTGGTCCCTCTCAGGGCCTGACAAATGCGTAGAACAAATCAGTTCAAACATTGAATTTAGCATCCTTACAACCTTAATGTTCGACACTGAGAAAGAGCTCAATCGTGTCTGTGGATTATTCTAAAAAGGAGAATCAGTGTTTGGACCCAGGAGTCACTACACACTAACATCTGAGCTTTATTCCTTGCTTCTGTCTCAGCCATGGTCCATATATGTTGTTAATGTTTTAAAGTGCTATTATATTTGACAGCAATAGCAGCTAAACCATTTTGAAGTTAGAAAAATAAAACACCCACTAAAGCTCCTTGGAAACCTTCAAAACAAAAACAGTAGATTTGGTAGTGCCTACACAAAAACATCCATCCATTTTCTGAACACCCTTGTCCCTCACTGGGGTCGGGAGGGGTGCTGGTGCCTATCTCCAGCTAACGTTCTGGGCGAGAGGCGGGGTACATCCTGGACAGGTCGCCAGTCTGTCGCAGGGCAACACAGACACACAACCATGCGCACACACACACACACACACACCTAGGGGCAATTTAGACAGACCAATTAACCTAACAGTCATGTTTTTTGGACTGTGGGAGGAAACTGGAGTACCCGGAGAAAACCCACGCATGCACAGGGAGAACATGCAAACTCCATGCAGAAAGACCGGGGCTGGGAATTGAACCCAGAACCTTCTTGCTGCACAGCAACAGCTCTATCAACTGCGCCACTGTGCAGCCCTACACAAAAACATCGTAGAAAAAAATAACAACGTTTAGTGCAGTGTTTTTGTACAGTTTTTGTACAAATATTGTACAACTAAGACAGGGCTGGCTTACCCAGTACCACCTTAGTTTTTTATGTTTTAACTCTTTTAAATGGATTTCTTGTAACAGGGTAATAGAGCATTGCATTTTTTAGCTGATAAAAAGTGACAGTGATTTAAGCATGTTAGTTTTTCCACATGTAAATTATAAATATCCTTTCTCATATTATTATTTCAGTAGGTATTGATTGCTAAGGGATATAATGTGCCTTACATGCACATTGTTAGAATAATCAAAGTGACATTTATAAGTAATAGAAGGTATTTCAACCGAACAGCGAACAGGCTTTCAAAACAATGAATTTGGCGTCCTTACAACCTTAAAACTGGTTTCCATGGAGAAAAAGGAGCTTGACAAATGCTCTCCGTCCAAACACTCTGTGTAATAGCGAGTGTCTGACAGCAAGATTATTCTCCCTGACTTGCCTTCCCAAAAAAACAAGTGTAAAAAATTAAAATAAAACAAATAAGTCATCTTACCTTCTCTTATGGTGAGGAAAGTCCAATTTATATTTAGAACTGTATATCAACTGAATGCACCATTCAAGAAAATAGACTGAACAACTTTAGGAACATCAACATTTATTTCACATGATATAAAACAGATGGGGTATGAACCTTTTGCATATTGACAATGTCTTTAATATTCACTCTTTTTCAGGTTGTAGATAAATTATGCTTCTTTTTAGAATTAGTTTTACAGTTTATACATGTCTTAAATTTATTCGTCCTGAAGCGCCAAAGTCTGCCTTATTGCTTCATACGTGTGCTATTCTCCTATGTATCACCATCTAGGACTGAATCACAAACTCTTTATTTCATGTTTGCTACCTAAACAAACCAAAGTGAGAGAGGAAAACAGAAGACAAAAGCTGCAAAAACAGACAAAAATCTGAAGCATTCTAATACTTTGCATGCTCAAGACTTCAACCAAGACTTAAATCACCCAATCCAAATAAATATTTCAAAAAGAGTTAGTCTTCTACAAAAGAAGAGAAAATCACAATTTTGAAGGAAAATTGGCTGTTTGTATATATTTATGATATACTTTATCTGCATATATGTCAAAGGATAACTTGTATTTTTATGAAGACAGGAAGCCTTTAGCAAGACAGAAATCAAAACAAGTTTAAAATCAGTGCACTTCAGTGCAGTCACTTTCAGTGGTCACTTCAGTGGTGGTCACTTCAGTGGTCACTTCAGTGGTCACTTGGGCTTGAAGTTAAGCACTGCATGTGTTTGGAGGCAAATGGATGTACACTCGCCTTCAGCAGCTCATAAACAGCAGACATTGCCACGTATGGCAAGGATTCTCACGCTATTTCTTATTCAGATTAATAGCTCTGTACTTTTAACATCTATGTGTTTAGCAACAAAATTCTAATGCCCCCAGGAACAAGCTCCACATTGTGTCAACACTGTGAAATGGTTTGCACTTATTAAGCAGCTCTAATTGTACAGTGGCTCCAAGATGCCCAGAAGTGTTTGCCTGGGGCCTTGTTGAGAAACAATTACAGAAAAGACATATTCGAGACATACAAAACACTTTAGCATTTTTGTTTCTCATTCTAAAATGTGAGTTTCTATTGGGGCAGTGATAGCCTGCTTCTTGTTCTACAGGTTGCTTCATCCAGAAGGTCTGCTTCCTGGTTTTGCTCTAAGGCAGGTCCAAAGTCAGTCCTAGACCGCCCGGCATCCTGCATGTTTTAGTTCTCTCCTTGTTTTAACACACCTGGATCCAATGATGGCTTGTTAGAAGGCCTAAGAAGAACATTGACCTGCTGAAAAGGTTGTTACTACCACTAGGGAGAGAACTAAAACATGCAGGATGCCAGCAGCCCTGCTCTAAAGTTTTGAATTTTACTGAATTGCAAATTATGTATAAATTTGCCAGTTTGATGGTAAGAAGCTTACTGGTCTGTAAACAACCATCCTCTACTGTGAAGAGAGCTGATATGAGTAAAGTTAATTCAATATGTGGCAAAACTGCCAACAATGGACTGAACGGCTTTGTTCATGTCCTCCACTGCCATTGCTGAAACTACAGGAAGATTACAGTTCTAAAACAGAACAGAAAATCAACGTCATCCTTAAAACTTCTCTTTCTGTTTGCTTATTGGGCTATTCTACCAGAGGGAATCAAAGTCAATGGGAGAAACCCAAGACTGAGCTTTGAAGTGAGATTTGAATTGAACGGAATAGCATAGGAAGGCAAGGACTAGGCTAGGTCCAAGCCCAGGCTAGGACAGTGCAGAAGCTTCCATCTGTCTGGGACTCAACTTGTATTTGCTTTAGATTTTTGCCACACAGACACAGTGTAGGTGATACAAAGGTTTAAGGGAACTGTTACTGTCAAGGAAAGCTGGGGGCCACTAGGATTTGTCTTTGATGGCGTTAGAAAGCTATAGTCAATCGCATATTTTTAACCAGATTGAAGATTGGATGATGACACAAAATGTGAAACAATATGTTGTCATTCAGTTCACTGTAAAGTGAGACATAGTCTAAACTCAGTGTTTAGACTGGTCCTCAGCGCCCCCCTGCTCTGCATGTTTTAGATGTGCCTCTATTCCAGAACAGATGATTCAAACCATTGCAAGTGCTGCAGAAGCCTGTTAATCACCCAGAGATACAATTCAGGTGTGTGGCACAAGGGAAGCAACTAAAACATGCAGGACAGGTGAGGACCAGGGTTGAGAAACAACTGGTCTAACCAGTAGACCATTTGGTTTTTGACTAACCCTCTGCATAATTGTGATGTAATTGGAAATAATTATTTAAAAAAAACAAACAAAAAACAGTACAAAACATGTTTTTAAAAATTTAGAGGTGCTTTGGGTTCAGTCCCCTTACACTGATCCCTCTAAGTAAAATCCAGAGCAGTCTTAAACTTCAGCAAGGAAGTTTATTTTTGTTAAAGGGAAACTGGTCAGAGTTAATGGGAGGATGGATGGAGCTAAATCCAAAGCAATCCTTATTTCTCTGTTGTTTCCCCTTAATGAAGGATACCAGTGAGTTGTCATCATTTCTTCAATTTCAAACAAGCAATTTAAGCATGTCTGAAAATGATTCAAGAGTCAGAATATCTTTAATTTGCCATGTTTTCCAGACTATTCCTAAGATTAATGGACAGAAACAGTAAAGGTGTCTGATAAGAAAGGCTCAAGAATTTCCATCAGTGGCCCTAACAGACTAATCAAGCATCAATCAACATGTACATCGAGGATATCAGTAAAAACCTTGATTGTTTTCTGCAGAAACCCCACATGATGGCATCATCTAGTTGCGTTCTGACGAGGCTTGTTTGTCAGATTAAAAGTAAACTTTGAAAACAACATCCTTCAAACAGGCATTAAATAATACTTTTTATTTAAGCCCACATTGCTGTAATAACATGTTTTTATTGGTATGATCTAAACTTAAATGTTGTTTTCTTTAGATGTAAGCAGAAACTTATAATTAACAAAAATAAAGTCTAAAAAAAAACAAGATGTGATTATTTAATTGATATATGTTTTATTTACTGAATTGAGTCACTGAAATGAGACTTTTTTCCCCTTTTGATCCATCTCAGGGTTTGCCTATTGGTAAAAACATAATCTATAACCAGTTCACAATCTTTTTTATGCAAACATGTTTAGGGAATAAAAGGAGCTTCTCAGTTTGAAAAATATCTAAAGGTACTAACGATTAATAAGCTCTCTTTGTGTCAGGATTCAAAGACTTCCCACCAGCCATTGATTGCTACTACCGAGTGTTGATCTCTGTGCAGGCATGTAGCTGTAGTCTCTAAGTGGTTCTGTCAGGAACGCAGAAAGCCGTGGAAACATGCTCTGTGCTGGTTGGCTACATTTGGGCTTTATGGGATGTTGTTTTGGACACTGAAGCTGACCATGCTCACGTGTCGCTGCTAACCAAGGTAAACGTCTGCACTGCAGGGAGGAGAAGAGACAGAGGAAAGCATGTTAGTCATGTCTTGTAAAGTTAATAAAAAAACATCATGTCATAAAAATCTCAAAAAATAAAATGTATGATGGCTAAACAGTTAAAATAAGTACAAAGATACAACCTTTCTCTTTTTGTTGAAAGTAGTTTTAAATTTGTGCCACTACTATGACAAAAATAGTCAGTGGCTCATTGTGTGATCCAAAACAAATAAAATCATAATATTTTACTGTACTGTAGGGTCCCTGTATGGATAAGTACTTCACAATGTGGAAAAAATATATACTGTGGAAAGTAATTAGTTACTAGTTAATAACCAAACCTTACGCGTACATTTTGTCTGATTTGTACCTTAAGTTGTCTACAAACCCAAACTATTACTTGAATTTGTTTGAGTAAAGTTAGTCAGTTAAATTTGAAATTGTATCCATTAATGAGTAAAAATATAACATGAGAATACACCAGAAAAAACAGCACTGATCTTTCAGCTGGGTTTGTATTAATGGTGTTGCATCAATGGGAAGACAGAGGAGCAAAACCTACCAAGTTTAGTTCAAGTTAACATCTGAAAAAAAGAAAAGCCCTTGCTGTACTGTAAGTACAGGCAGCAGCTTTATCGCACATTGGAAGCTTGAATAATATTTTAACAACAAATGGAAATGTCAGTCTTATCAGGTGAATAATGTCTGATAAGACTGACATTTGTTTATCTTACCTGAAGGAATCTGTCTTTAGACAGATTCCTTCAGATTCCAAATGTGAGCAAAGAATCTTTCTTACCAGACAACATGTTGCTGTTGATGTTGTGCGTCTTGCTGTCTCCAGTCAACTGTTTGCATGAATCAAGATGCTCCTCCTGGCTTGGAGTAAGGCTCTCCTCTGTTTCCTGTTCCTTAGGCTCAGAGGTTGATGGCTGAAAACTGCATTGAGCAAAATATCACATTTATAAAAGCTCAACATGTAGTATTTCAAAAAGTCTCTAAATGCAATGCAGAGCCACCACAGTGGTTTGGATTACAGCTCACCTGTACACAATGTCAATGTCATTCTACCATGATTAGCTTTGTTAAGTATTAACCAAAATAAATGAAAGTTCAGTTTGTTTTGGGACGTTTACCTAAACAGTGGTCATGTCCACAGAACTATGATTTAACACACAGACCTGTTTTCAGTTAAGATGTTTGCAGGAGAGCTGGTCAGATCTTGACCTTTGCTCTCATCATCCTCAAAGTGTTGAAAGTTTACGATCTCCACACGCTTTGGATCTGTGCCGAGGTCCACAATGATCACCCTCTGGCTCTCACACAGCTGAAAGTAAATAAATAATACTTTCAGAAGAAAAGAAAGGGGCTGGCAGTAACATAACAACAATGTTTGAGCAATTTAGTAAAATTCCAGTTTTTCAATTTTAAGTGCCTGTCTTAGCTATGTGATTAAATAACATCATAATCACATTTTTTTAGATTATCATCTTTATTTAAAAATAAGCTTTCTTAACTTTTTGTTAAAATTGTCACTATGACATTGTTCTCAGTCAAAAACATCCAGGATAGCACTGTCAGTCAGACTTGTGTACATACTACTCACACCCTCCCCTGCTCTGCTGTGCCTCAGCTCATCCCCCTGCTGTAAATGTGCAGGCTAGTAACAATAGTCACTGGTTATGATGAGCAGTGATAGCTCTGGCTCTGATTGGTTGTTTCTGACCGAGGCTGTATTTCTGCAGTAGGACCACAAACAGTAGCCAGAAGAGTTCCTTTTTTAAGTGATAATCAATTTCATTTTACACTCTCAGGATATAGTGACATTTTTAACAAATACGTAAAACAAAACAGAGGTGCAGATGGTAGCATTGCTGCTTTGAAGTAAGAAGGTCCTGGGTTCGAATCCTGGCCTGGGGTCTTTCTGCATGGAGTATCCATGTTCTCCCTGTGCATAAGTGGGTCTTCTCTGGGTACTCCGGCTTCCTCCCACAGTCCAAAAACATGAATGTTAGATTGACTGATCTCTCTAAATTCTCATTGATGTCAGTGTGTAGATAGTTGTTTGTCCTGTCTGTCTCTGTTGACCTGCCCATGGTGACCCTGCCTCTCACCTGTTGACTGCTGGAGATAGGGACCAGCTGCCAACATGACCACATTAGGGATACGTGTGTTAGAAAATGAATGGATGTCAAAAAACAAACATTTTTAAATAAAACTTACATACTGCAACTTTAAATCAGTCTTCACACAAGAAACTTTTCAAAGAAACATTTTTCCAATTTTTCAAATGCACATACTTGGTTGGTTAGGATTGTTTTAATTTGTATCCTGGAACACAGATGAGCTCCTAGCATTAAATACCATAACTGACTGACTGACTGAGTGACTGACTGACTGACTGTCTGTCTGAGTGACTGTCTGCCTGACTGCCTGTCTGT